AGGGAAGATGATTTCATTTTTACAACAGATTATTGAAGGATATTTGTGATTTCCCCCAAAATAGCATCCTTGTCAGGTTTGGAAACAGATACCACATTACACAGTTTTCTGGTGCAGATTGCTCTGAAGACAAAGTCTCTATCCATTGCGTAAACCTTTCTTTTGGAGTGTTCATGCTTTTCTGTTTATGCTCATTCACTCATGCCTGCTCTTACATTCCCTGGTCTGTTTCCATTACAATGTGAAGAGCTATGGTGATTATCCTTAAAATCAGGAGCGGGAGATATTCCGCACCTCACTGTTCGGTACAGTCCTTGTCCGGTGGATCAGGACAGCTGAGGGGAGTCACCCTGCAGCTAGAACCTTTGCCTGTGACCTGACTCTGTAATTCAGGCAGCTCTGCACACAAGTGAGTAAGTAGTTCGAGCCCCACTGCCATCCCTGTTGTCCCACTCTGGTGAGCTGCTGCATTCGCCTTTACTGCACATGCTAGAACAGTGCCTGCCTCTAGGAAGTATCAGGGGAGTGCTGATTATCAGAAAATCCCAAATCAGTATGACTAGGAAGAAGGAAGGCTAGGGGGGCTTTGGGGTCTTTTAGAAAACCCAACAAGGAAAATAGTGACAAATCAGTGTTGATTTGTAGAGTGCCTTTGAGGTAGTTTGCCATGTTAAAGGCCTGAACTAGCAGACTATTCACAAGGAGAACGACCAGTGGAGTCTCAAAGGGGATCATATAAATCTACACAGATGCCCGTAGTCCAGGTTCAGCTAAAGAAGCCATATGAATCCACATCTCCTGCAAGTCTGGATCCCCGCTCCAGCCAGGACTGGTCGTGAGGTACAGGCTGACTACAGGCAGAACTCTAGTATCTGGAGTGCAGCTGCCTGAATGACCTGAGTCATCTTCAAGCCCTAGGGTCCTGAGTAAAAAGCACCTCTTTTAAAAAAATGGTTTTTCATCCTTTCTTCCTTCCTCCCTAACCTTATCCTTCCCTCCCTCTTTTCCTCTCTTCCAAAAATGATAAGTAAGCTTGGGAAAAGAAAGAAGGGAAGGAGGAAGGAGACATAAAAAGTCTCTTTCCTCCCCATTTCTATTTCCCATAACTAACTGGAGTCAAATTCTTTGACATTTAGAGATGTTCTATCCATAATACATGAATATCTGTAAGCCTTTTGAAAATTCCTATCTGATTTTACCCCTCTATGCCTTACATTTTTATCTTAATACATTTTAAAGTTCTTCTTGTAGCATCAATATAGCTTTATTTTTCTATGTTATTAGGATTAATATATAAAAACATTTCAGTGAGATACTGAAATTCTGAACTCTTAAGCATCTAACAGTGTAACTAAAAGTAAATGACATTAAAACTTGGCAGAATTACAAGAAGAAACAGATCAATCCACAACCGTAGTGGCAACTTAACCAAGTCTCTCAGACATTAATAGATATCAACAAGCCAAAAGCAAAGCGTGACATAGGAGATTTAAACCACCCTGTGAAGGAGTTTGGTTGAGTGGGAACGTGAGGACCTAGGTGCTCAACGGTTAGGAAAGACAAACTCACAGGCTGGGGTCTGCAGAGCACCTGGCATGTGCTTGACCATAAAAGAAATCTCGTAGCAGTAGTCCCTTTGCAGATGTCATCTGTGAATTGGTTTTGTCTTTGTCCTACATTTCTTTCCTGAGATCTATGGGTTCCTGTTTCACATGTGCTGTTTTATGACTGTAGGGACTCTTTAATTCTGCATTAGGAACTTTCTTAACTATAATTACTTCATAAGGACTTTTTAATTTTTACTTTTGATTGGTCTGTAATGACTGTATGTATTTATGGAGTATACTGTGATATATTGATTCATATGTACAATGTGTAATGACCAAACCAGGGTAACAAGAACATCCATCACTTTGAACATTCATTGGTTCTTTGTGTTGGGAATGTTCAAAATCTTCCCTTCTTGTTATTTTGAAATACACAATAAATCATTCTCAACGACAGTTATTCTAGCTTTTTTTTTTTTTTTTTTTTTTTTTTTTTGGTACAGAGGATCAAACTCAGGACCTTGCACTTGCCAGGCAGGCGCTGTGTCGCTGAGCTAAATCCCTGGCCCTAGCTTTCTTTTTAATTCATAATGGAATGTTGGGTTTAACTTTCATCACTTATGCATCATTCTTCAGGTAGATTTTCATCATCCCCAGGGAAGTTGGCCTGCTTTTTCCCATCATTTTTGTTATGCTGTCTTTGCATCTCTGATACCAAGTGTATCCCTCAGGACCGGCATGGTGCTGGAAGTAACGTCCTTATCCTGTTTTGCTTTTCTTAGTAATGCTGTATAACATCAGAGACAGATGGGGGCACATCTGTAATTCAGTTGGCAATTTATCTGACTCCCCAGTTTCGAGGGAAGAATTTGTGTCTAGTTAACTTCCAGCTTATCTCCAGTAACTAAAATTAGTCAGCGCCTGATAACAGAAAGGAGGAGGAAAGAGACATAAGGTCTCCCCCATCTCCATTTCTCATTTTTTAACCAGAGTGAGATTTTTTAAATCTTTGGAAGTATTTTACCCATAATATATGAGTGTGTGTAAGCCTTTTAAAAATGAATATGTATGGGCCGGGGATTTAGCTCGGTGGTTCTGCCACCTGCCTTGCAAGCACAAGGACCCAAGTTCGATCCCCAGTACCAAAAAAAAATGAATATGAGTTAGGTGGTGGGGCCTGGTCAGAAGAGCCAGGCCACGTGGGTACCACCCAGGAGGTTTTATCTCCCTTCTTGGCTCTTTGATTCCTGGCTGCCCAGAGGTGAGCAGCTTTTCCTCCACCATGCCGACTACGGACTGAAACCTCTACAAACTGTGAGCCAAAATAAACCTTTCCTCTTTAACCTGTAAGTGTCAGTGATTGTGTCTCAACAACAAGCATGTGATTAAAACATCGAGTAACTATATGGAGTTGATCTTTTTTCATTTTATTATTGAGTTTATTGGTACATTTTAGGTAAACAGTACCGTTACATTCATCACTGAGATCTTGTACCCTTACGTGACAGGTCTTGGTTCTCATTTTTTCCCCATATCCCTGTCCTCCCTTCACCCTCTTCACCCTCCCCTATTTACAAAGACTTTCTTTCCTTTTTTTCCTTTTCTCATATTTTTTTTTTTTTTTTTTTTTTTTTTTTTTTTTTTTTTTTTTTTTTGGTACAGAGGATCAAACTCAGGACCTTGCACTTGCCAGGCAGGCGCTGTGTCGCTGAGCTAAATCCCTGGCCCTAGCTTTCTTTTTAATTCATAATGGAATGTTGGGTTTAACTTTCATCACTTATGCATCATTCTTCAGGTAGATTTTCATCATCCCCAGGGAAGTTGGCCTGCTTTTTCCCATCATTTTTGTTATGCTGTCTTTGCATCTCTGATACCAAGTGTATCCCTCAGGACCGGCATGGTGCTGGAAGTAACGTCCTTATCCTGTTTTGCTTTTCTTAGTAATGCTGTATAACATCAGAGACAGATGGGGGCACATCTGTAATTCAGTTGGCAATTTATCTGACTCCCCAGTTTCGAGGGAAGAATTTGTGTCTAGTTAACTTCCAGCTTATCTCCAGTAACTAAAATTAGTCAGCGCCTGATAACAGAAAGGAGGAGGAAAGAGACATAAGGTCTCCCCCATCTCCATTTCTCATTTTTTAACCAGAGTGAGATTTTTTAAATCTTTGGAAGTATTTTACCCATAATATATGAGTGTGTGTAAGCCTTTTAAAAATGAATATGTATGGGCCGGGGATTTAGCTCGGTGGTTCTGCCACCTGCCTTGCAAGCACAAGGACCCAAGTTCGATCCCCAGTACCAAAAAAAAATGAATATGAGTTAGGTGGTGGGGCCTGGTCAGAAGAGCCAGGCCACGTGGGTACCACCCAGGAGGTTTTATCTCCCTTCTTGGCTCTTTGATTCCTGGCTGCCCAGAGGTGAGCAGCTTTTCCTCCACCATGCCGACTACGGACTGAAACCTCTACAAACTGTGAGCCAAAATAAACCTTTCCTCTTTAACCTGTAAGTGTCAGTGATTGTGTCTCAACAACAAGCATGTGATTAAAACATCGAGTAACTATATGGAGTTGATCTTTTTTCATTTTATTATTGAGTTTATTGGTACATTTTAGGTAAACAGTACCGTTACATTCATCACTGAGATCTTGTACCCTTACGTGACAGGTCTTGGTTCTCATTTTTTCCCCATATCCCTGTCCTCCCTTCACCCTCTTCACCCTCCCCTATTTACAAAGACTTTCTTTCCTTTTTTTCCTTTTCTCATATTTTTTCTTTTCCCTTATTTCCTTTCCCTTACCCTTCCGACTTCCCCTACACCTTTAGCCCTTTTCTTCCTATTTCTCATTATCAGTTACACAATTATATGGAGTTGATCTTGGTATAAAATATTAGTGAAGCTTAATTTCTTTCTTTTCTGAGAACCGTAAAATATAGATGGCTACAACTTTTGTCCTTTATCAGTGGTGAGTCATGGGCACCCTTGCAATGTGTGGATCTGGCTGTTTAAGGTTTTCTTACCACCCACATGGCCCTGAAGACTTTGTCAGCACCTTAATGGACAGAGTCCCAGAAACCAAATGGCTTGATTGATAGGCATATGCATCGTTCCATATTCCCTATAATCTAATCATGTTCCAGAGGTCCACCTATGATCACTTGAGGCTTTAGGCAGACACATAGATAAAAACTATAACATTCAGCATTGTGGGGCAGATGGCTATGTAGACATTGAATTCCCAAGGTGTCCTGAAGAAGGGTAGGAGGAATTCAGTGCAAAGGGATGAACAAAGACATCTGCCTCACTAATTGATTTGTTTTTAGCAGGTGACTACTTTTTGTAGTTTGTGTGTGCCTGGTTGAGTGAATTTCTAGATTATTCTTTGTCCTAATTTTGTTATTAAATACATACATTGCCCCCAGGCCTCTCAGTATGTGACCTTGATCTTCCAGGGACTCCCTGGCGCAAGGAGCAGACTGAGGACCTGCAGCGAGTTCTCAAGGACCTTGACAGGGAAATCCCGCTGGTCCTTGTCAGTGGCAACCATGACCTGGGCAACATCCCCACAGCAGAGACCATCGAGGAGTTCCAGCACACGTGGGGAGACGACTACTTCAGCTTCTGGGTTGGGGGTGTCTTGTTCCTGGTGCTCAACTCCCAGTTCTGGTACAATGCCTCCCAGTGCCCGGCCCTGAAGCATGCCCAGGACCACTGGCTGGACCAGCAGCTGAGCATCGCTGGACAGCGGAAGTGCCGCCATGCCATCGTGTTCCAGCACATCCCTCTGTTCCTGCACAGTATCGAGGAGGAGGATGACTACTTCAACCTCACCAAAGCTGTGCGCAAGGAACTGGCAGACAAGTTCATTGGTGCAGGTAGGCTTCGGGCGTGAGGGTCTGGAGCAGTTCCTAGCAGAGAGGGAAGAGGACAGGCTTTGGATGGAACTGGGCTCCGGTCCAAGTTCTACCTCTCACTAGCTGTGTGGCTTTGGATAAGCTTCCTAATCCTTTAGAGCCTCGGTTTCCTCACTGGTAAATCAGAGTAACAGTAATCGCTCTCTTAATAGGATGGCTGTGAGGAAGAAAATACAGGCATTTAGTGCAGACCTTATCCACACTAGCCTGTAAATGTGTGGTAGCTGCTCCCAGTTGAAGACAGGTGTGCTCAGCATGGGGCTACTGGTTAGGTCTCAACATGGCTGCATGTGCCTCAGGACGTGGCACAAGCCAGGGATGTCTTTTTCCTCATTTCTTGGGGACGCAGGAACTGGCTCAGAGACAGCTGATCTTAAAGAGCCAAGCTTCCCTCCAGCAGGGGTTTGGTGTGTGTGACACAGGAAGTCCTAGGATGTCACATTGATGCGCAGGTCCTGGGCCTTGTTACTTTGTTTCTAGTGAGATGTATTAAGTTCCCTTCTTGACTCAGGAGAGAGAAATGTATGTATCCTGATCTCATCATGCTGTAGACTTTTAGCCAATTATAGGTTAAAAAAAAAAAAAATGGAGACACCCTGTTTGTGAAAGTGAGACTAAGCTTCCAGTCGTGCACCCTCTCCCCTCAGCCCACACCTCATCTTTCCTCCTGAGGACCCCTGAGTTATGGGGTCTCAGCAGGATTCCATCTTTGACAGCTGGTCTTAATTCCTCCTTTCAAGTCTTTCCAGTACTTACTTTTCCAAAACACTTCAAAAACACAAGTGTCTTCTTTTATTTGTTACATGGGAAGGGGTTTGACCCAGGAGTAAGCATTTTTTTTTTTAACATCCTGTTCCCCTTCTTTTCATCTTTGAGTATTAAATGGGTTTCACATACTTGTGAAAGGTACAGTAGGCCCTTCTGTGTTTCTGAGACATTTTACAAAAGGCTCCCATAATTGGAGACATTTTCCAACTTTTCCATAGAGGCAAAGCTGGAAAACTTCTGTTAAAGGCCTTTGAAATTTTATGCCATGCTTCAGTTGGTGCAGAAAACCATTCTGATTCTAAGAAAGTAAAGTGTCAAAGTGGAATTAGCTCCACCATGGAGGCTGTTTTGCGACAGAGAATAAAGCCAGGAGAATAGTCAATGCCCCTGACACAGTTCTTTTCATACAAAATGGCAAGTGATACTGATGCCGATCCCTGGTTACTCTTCATTTTCCACTCTTGTTATCCAGTTCTTAAGCAGCATGTGGTCTGGGTTTCCCATCTAAGGGCAGAGCACATGTTGCCCACCACTACCCCAGGCATTAGGAGGATTCCACATACCAGGAGGCACAGAATGAGGCATGGCATCACACTGGAGTACAGCAACTCTGCAGACTCAGGGTTCAGGGATATCCAAATACCCACAGCCTCCGAGATGTCTACAATTCACAGTGCCAATTCATTGATCAAAGTAGGATAGAGTCCTCCCCTGCCCCTTCCTCGCAGCAACCTCTTCCCATGAGCAGAGCTATGTGAGCAGCCAAATTATACTCAGGTGGTTGTGTGGTAAACAAGAGGCAGAGTGGGGGATTAGTCTCCTTTTTCCACTTGGAATGGCATCAGGCCCAGCCTCCTGATGGCTCCAGAGACTCTGATATTTCATTCTGCTGTTTAGTTTCTACCCAGCCCAACCTCTTCTTTCAGCCACCACTATCTCAACTAGGTCCTAGCAGCATCTCTAAGGATAGCCCATTCTCCTCCAGCAACCCAAGGGGGCCACAAGAGGGTCCTGACCTCCCCAACCCAGGACGAGACCCAGTTCCTCTCCATTCCAGAAGTTTCTGTTTTGCGCTCTGGCCTTCTCCATATCATATCACCTGGCCAAGCCCACGCGCCCTTGGCCTCATCTGTGTAATGTTCCCCTCGCCTCATTCTTCCTCAGCTTTCCTTGGTCCCAGCACTTGTCAGGTGGATTTTCAAGTGTTAACGTGTGCAAATCCCTCACTGGACTCTCAGCTCCTTGAGGACAGGGAAATTGTTTTGCTCACCTCTGCATTCAGGAGGCCTAGCTCAGGTCATAGTTCATGGTGAAGCTTCATCTGTGTTTGTGGATGAATGAAGGAGTAGAAGTCCCAGCCTCTCATGGTCACTTGGCAGTTGGTTTCTGACTCCCCAAGTGCCCCCTCCGCAGATCCCCAGGTATCACCTGAGGCCCTTGGTCTTAGGATCTTCACCTACATCTGCGTAACCAAGGAAAACCAGAGAGTTGGGAGTCTTCCTACATTCACCCATTGGTTTGGGTGCCTTGTCAAGCCAAGGCTTTTGCATAATGACCTTCAGACACAGAATAAACCTGGAACCACCTCCAAAAGATGCGGTTCAGGATCTTTCAGGTTACTGCTGAGTGACCTACCGGGTTAGGAGGCAAAAGTGGGCAAGCTCCAGCAGATATTTACATACCCACTTCAAGGACACAGGCAATGGCTAGGCTCACAATACAATTGGAACTCATTTGCAAAGCCAGAAGTTCAAGTGATAATTTGTAAAATTTGTTAACCTAAAGGCCTGAATAACTCCGGATTTGATGATGGCAGATGGTATTTAATGTTGCCTCCAGGGTTTTTCCCCCCACAGCAATATTATTCCCCTGTATTATTTCAGTCTCATTTATCTCCTTGTGCTAAAATGCCAGTACTCAACAATATGTCAAAAGCTTATCAGACTATCAGGGTAGCTTTTAATTATGATAATTGTGTTGTTATAAAATATCCTTTTAAAGAACACATCCCTCCCCATACCACCATGGAGGTAAAACGCTTCTTCCTTCCAGCAAGTTTAATGAATAATTCTGAATCATTGTGTGGGATGAACAAATGATTTAATAATGAGCATCAACAATCATCTCCCATTGTTGCATTAATTTTTTAAAATGGGATGAGGTAAATGAGGAGGAAGGGATGTCACTGTACAATGGGACACCTTGTATGTAGGAATGCGCTCTGTGATTCAAAACCCAAGAGCTTCTAAGCTCAGGTTTCCTTAGAAACGAATACATCCTCTTTCTACTTTTGAAGCTCAATAAAAAGCCTTATTTGTATGATATAAAAACATCAATAACTGGTACAAATAAACAGATATGAGGGCAGGACAGATACACAGATGTGAAGCGGCATCTGTTATTTTCTGTCTTCTTTTGCTCTGCCTGAGGATAATCATTTTCATCACATCCAAGGGCTGTAGAAATTGGTTTTCCTCTTAATTCACTTGATACCTAGTTGGAATTGCAAAGACAGATAGTAGATAATGAAATCTTGGTCAGAGCTGGACATTGTCTCCATCCCTCATTGCCTCTTTCAGCGGAAGGTTAGAATGTGACTCTGTGGATTGCAATTTTAAAACTCAATCTTAAAAAACAGGAGTCTGGCGTTTTTACTGGCAGTGTTTTCCTGATGTCTCAATACACTGTCTCTTTTCTATTCTCAAAATAGAGATTAGAACTATATATTAAAGAGCCTGGAGCAAATTTGGCAATTATAAAGAATTCCAATAAGTTAGTCTTTTCTGCAAAAGTTAATGGGCAATTTCACAGAATTAGTTTCATCTCTAGTATTTATGTTTTTAAAATAACGGCAGAAAGAAATCTTAGCCCATGGTTATGGAATTAAAATTTCAAAGCTTTAAAGAATATAGAGGTCAGGTTCCCACGGTATAGTTTATTGGAAGACGCAAACATCTAATTCAACTCTGATGTCTTACCATGTTGTATTGAAACTTTATATCCTGATTTCTCTAGGAAACACTGCCTAGCTGTGTCCACCACTATAAACCCAGCTGAGACTGTCACTTAGTAGTCCCTCAATCAGTAATTACTGGCTAAACAGAATTAAATTAGGCTTGATTTAGATCTACTTACCATCAGCATCACAGGTAACATCCATGTCACCTATGGATTCAGTGTTGACCACCTGATTTCCAGGTGGGAAATACATTGCCAGGAGCAGGAGACCACACACTTCCCTGAACAGGATCAGTAAATATTTGGGACTTTTCGGCCTTAAAGTCTCTGTAGCAAATACAGCAAAATTGTCTTGGCACCTGGCTTATACAGAAAGGTAGACTGTTTTGAGTCCAAAACTTTTTCAGGGCTGCTAAGGAATGAATACTTAATTTTATTCAAAGGGGCTGTTAGAAGAGCAGGAACCCCTGAACTAAATAAAAAATTCTTACAAAAATTAATGATAGAATCTTTTTCTTAAAGCACGTGCCTCTCCATTTAATGTGTTAGTTAAAAAAAAAAAAAAAAAACTTTGACTGCATAATTTTCTAGGTTTTTCTAAATCTAGCAAATATATCCACAAGACAATGACAGTCATCCTACAGTGCCTTCCATTTAAAATACAGTTTTTAGCCAGGCATGGTGGCACACACCTGTAATCCCAAGAGGCTCCTGGAGGATCACCCTGCATTCAGGGCCCGCCTGAGCTACGTTGCAAGACCTTGTCTCAAAGAAAAAAAAAAATGATTAATCAGTCAGTCAAATGCAATTTTTGAAAAAAGAATCTTGATGTTTATTTTTAAAACCAGCTTTCTAATGACAACTCGGTCTTTGTTTAGGCATCCACAGAATCCAGAGTTTCTGGCAGTGTATCAAGTTGAAGAATTTTATGCTCTTTATTTTCTAGAATTTGATCGAGAATTCGTTTTCCCAGGTTTCATCTTTTGTGCCTTGATCCATTCATTCACCGGAAAGAATCACACTCGAGTCACTGGATGCATGTGCCTCAGTGACTATAAGCTTAGATAGCAGACCCACTGCCAGAGCTACATCTGGTGTGCAGCAATGGATTATATTTCTCACTTTAGAGGTATCCTTAACAGTTGGGCTAATTAAAGTTAAAATCAAGTCCTGATGGTAAATATTTATAAATTGAGAATCTGGCATGTGTGAATGTGTAATGCTGATTCTAGAAG